TCCCTAGTATGAACTCGGTTACCAACAATTTCAAAACATGCATGTTCCGAGTTCAAAACCAACCTTCACCGACACTACTATGAACTCGGCCCCTAACACTTCCAAAACATGCCTGTACTAACTTTGAAACCACCATCGGTGAAAACTTCACCGACCTTAGTATGGACTCTACACCTACCGATTCCAAAACATGCATGTTCCGAGTTCAAAACCAACCTTCACCGACACTAGTATGAACTCGGCTACCAACAATTCCAAAAACATGCATGTTCCGAGTTCAAAACCAACCTTCACCGACACTAGTATGAACTCGGCTACCAACAATTCCCAAACATGCATGTAACAACTTTCCAACCTGCCTCAGTGCTAACAAAATTCCCCGACCCTAGTATGAACTCGACTGCCATCAATTCCTAAACATCCATGTACCAACTTTGTAACCTACCTCGGTGAAAACTTCACCGACCTTAGTTTAACTCTACCTTACAATTCCAATGATGCATATACGAACTTTGTAACCTGCCTCGGTGAAAACACCCCCGTCCCTAGTCTGAACTCGGTTACCAACAATTTCAAAACATGCATGCTCCGAGTTCAAAACCAACCTTCACCGACACTAGTATGAACTCGGCTACCAACAATTCCTAAACATGCATGTACCAACTTTGCAACCTGCCTCGGTGTTAACAAAAACTCCCCTGACCCTAGTATGAACTCGGTTACCAACAATTTCAAAACATACATGTTCCGAGATCAAAACCAACCTTCACCGACACTAGTATGAACTCGGCTACCATCAATTCCTAAACATGCATGTGCCAACTTTGCAACCTGGCTCAGTGTTAGCAAAACTCCCCGACCCTAGTATGGACTCTACACCTACCGATTCCAAAACATGTATGTTCCGAGTTCAAAACCAACCTCGGTGAAAACTTCACCGACCTTAGTTTAACTCTCCCTAACAATTCCAAAACATGCATGGTCTAGATTCGAACCCTGCCTCGGTGAAAACGTCACCGACTCGTGTATAAAATCTGTCCCAACCAACTCCAAACCTTCCCTGGGCACCCGAATAAAAATAACTCACCCAGCCCCTTAATCAATAAAAATTATTGATTTGTACTTTAGAGTGATTAGATTGAATGATATGTATGCTAACGTCATATCATATTTAGTTTTTACGTCATTATTTTGGTGAACTTTAAATGTAGACATTTTAAACGGTGTGTCATTTGACACGACGTACTATAACGTTGTTGTTTTTTAAAACTTGAAGTTTATAATCTTAAGCAAATTTTTACTAAGGTGATCAAAAATTAAGATGACAATGTAAGATATAGAAAAAGAAAATACATCTGTGGTAAAAATAAAAAATTGTCCTTAGACGTAATGTATTGATTTTTAAAACTTGAAGTTTATAATCTTAAGCAAATTTACCACCACCTTACCACCACCTTACCACCACCTTACCACCTTACCACCACCTAAGGTGATCAAAAAATTAAGATGACAATGTAAGATATAGAAAAAGAAAATACATTGAGTGGAAAAAAATAAAAAATTGTCATTAGACGTAATGTATTATGTATAAGTAAACTTTCTTAAAAATTAAAGAAGTTCAAGTCAAAAAGAAGCTTGATGAAAACTGTAATACTAAAGCGAACATGGGAAGGTAATCTGCTGCAAGATTAAAATATATATTTTGTTAACCCTTGTCTTCCTAAATTATTTTTTAACTTTTTAAAGAAATTGACTGTTTAGTTAAGGATTCTGACGCGAATTTTTTCACAAGGGACGATACTCGTGTCTGTAGACAAGGCTGTTCTAATTTTAGAACAGTTGTCTTTCCTCTCGTTTCTCTATTAGGGAAGCCGTAAGGGGAAGACACGCGACACGTCTTTTAAAATGTAAACAAGCGTGCACGGGGTGCACTTAAAATAAACCCCGCTGCGACAATTGTTAAATTTATCTGGCTCAGTGTGGTCAAATGGTAGTCAGATCAAAAGAAAATCGGAACGGTCATAAAAAAACTTAATTACTTTTCCAGACTTGTAAAAAACATGTCTACCCACGTATACCTACGTACCAACGCACCAAGTCGCCCTGTCGCCCATTAAAAAACACGAACCTACCGAGACTTCGTTTCGTCTCAAAACCTGACTTAACGGTGGTTGAAAGAAAATTCCGACCCTTAAATATATTTTTGTTTTCGCTGACCCTCGCTATAAGCGAATAGTTACAACCATTAAGCTTTCATACATAGCAAGGGATGGTTCGCAGGACATGTGGAAACAAAATTTTTTAATTTGATCAAAGAATGTCCGGGCGTACGATATGTGAACATAGTTCATGTACAGCTGTAGTCTAATGAAAAAAGCCGAGAGCCGTGACTAATTACAGCACCAGCTGTCGCCACACTTAACGCGGAGAGGGACTTAATGGCTTCGATTAATTACCTGTTGTGATCGCTTCAGTGAGCCCGCTATTAAGCAACCACGGGGAGCGCCGGGGAGGATCACGGGCGGATCGATAAGTACAAGCTGTCACTAATAAGTAACAGCTGTGGTTAAATGGATGTTATACACAATGACACTTTCTAGTACACGCTAGTGTTAGTCTTTTATTTTAAACGGCGTACAACAAAGAAATTAAAAGCAAACTAATTAAAATGAATTTCAAACAAATAAATTATACAAAGTAATTAAATTAAACAACAAGTAAACAACAATTAAAAATAAAATTTAAAAATAATAATTTAAAAAATTTAAAAATTTAAAAAATTAAAATCGAATTACGTAACTCGTTAATAATAATTAAACTAATTATAAAATAAAATTAAAAATTTAAAAATTTAAAAAAAAAAAATTAAAATCAAATTACGTAACTCGTTAATAAAAATTACACATAGGTGGACCATCATACTGATGGTCAGTGGGTTCGATCAATATTAACTTGGCCCTTGTACGGTGGTTGACAAGAACAAAGGATCGCATGTGGATCGATACGTGTCGGGTGCCATTAGCGAGTAACAGGTGTCTCTAATGGATGTTTGTAGTCGACATAAACCCACGATGCATGACCAAAATTAATTAGGCGGACCATCATTTGATGGCCGTGTGTGGAATCAATATTAACATTAAAAATAAACAAAATAAAAATAATTAAAAAAGTAACGTTGTTGATTTTTAAAACTTGAAGTTTATAATCTTAAGCAAATTTACCACCACCACCACCACCACCACCACCACCACCCGCTTGGTAACATCTGTCGCCACACTTAACGCTGGTTTTGCGTTAATTATCATGACCCGTCAAATCGATCGGGGAAACTCGGTGAAGCATAACAAAATTTAATTAGGTGGGACATCATGCTGTGATGGGCCAGCGGCTGCGATCAATATAAAGCCCATTAAAAACCGCTCAGCGTGTGTCAACAAAGGATCGCGGATCGATACGTAACAGCTGTCGCCTGATCGTTATCTTTAATGGATGTTATTCACAAAGTACACGGCTAGTGTTAGTCTTTTATTTAAACATACATACATTCAAACAAACCAACAAATTAAACATCAAAGAAAAGAAATATATTAAATAAATAAATAAACAAAGTAATTAAAATCAAATTACGTAACTAGTTAATAATAATTTAACTAATTATAAAATAAAATAAAATTAAAAATAAACAAAATAAAAATAATTAAAATCACATTACGTAACTATTGAATAAAAATTACACAATATAAACAAATAAACAATAAGTAAACAAACAAAGTAAACAATTTAAAATCAAACAAATAATCAAATTACGTAACTAGTCAATAAAAATTCAAACATCAAAGTAATTAAATTACGTAACTCGATAATAAAAATTAATTAAAAATTTAAAAACTCCTTAAAAACGCATTAAAATTACGTAACTAGGTCAAAAATTAATTAAAATTTAAAAAACTCATTAAAAAACGCATTAAAATTACGTAACTAGGTCAATGATTACGTCATAATGTTACTAATTACGTCACAAGGTCACCGGTGGTGACCTACTGACCTACTCCCGCTCCTGCTCACCCACCCTAGGGTGGGTGAGTATTTTACTATATCTCATTGTACCTGCGGCTCACCCACCCTCACCCACCTGCTCACCCAGGTGGGTAAGTATTTTACTATATCTCATTGTTCCTGCGGGTCACCCAGGCTCACCCACCTTCACCCAGTTGGGTGAGTATTTTACTATATGTTGGTGTACCTCCTGCTCCCCCAGGGAGTATTTTACTATATCTCGTTGTTCCTGCGGCTGCGGCAGGCTGCGCCTGGTGGGTGAGTATTTTGCTATATGTCATTGTTCCTGCGGCTCACCCAGGCAGGGAGTATTTTCCTATATAACCATTGCTCCTGCTCCTGCTCCTGCTCCCCTCACCCTGCGCCTGCGCCTGCGACCCAAAAGGGACCTAATATACTACTACTCTTGTAGGGTCAGACTTGGCAGATGACAATATATGAGTTCAGGTATCAAGTGCACTAAACAAATAATACAGATTATATTCAATAAAATATTACACTTAAGAAGAGGGAGTACTTAACAAATATTTTCTCCAAACATATTGCTCCACAACACAATCTTGTACACTAAACAAATAAGTACACAGGTGCTTCTAATGATGAGGTATAACTTTAACTACTGCTATAATTGTCATTCCCACTAAGCAAAATAAAGTTTTTGATCACTTTGATTATACTACAAAAATATTTTTTTCCACGGTCTATTAATATTTTGAAACAAATACCTTCTAAAAATAAAATTTAAATTTAATTTTTTTTTTTAAAACTTTATTAGAGCAGTATAATTTAACACATTTTATCAAAATAACAGCATTATTTTCAAGTCATAAATACAGATGAAACCAATCACACAGGTCAAGTGGTCAGTCAAAGAAATCTTGACAGACAATCAATCATTAACACACAGGTCAAGCTGTCAGTCAAATAAATCATGACAATCAATTATCAACAAACAGGTCAAGCGGTCAGTCAAAGAAATCTTCCACATCTATCCCAGGCTCCAGAAGGTTGTCTTTAAATGGAGTCAGGTCCATGCCATTGAGAATCAAATTTTCAAAAGTTTCTTCCATATCTGTTTCCCCTATGAGTATTGCCCCCACCAGTTTCCCTTCATGTAGGATGGCTTTCACATATTCTTCACCTGTTGGGTTAAACAATACAACAATAGGTAAGTTTATTTTTTAATTTTTTAAATTGAGCTGATGTCCATTCCTGAAATAAATTTACTATTTTATCATGAAAACTATTACATGAAAAAATAAAAAAAACAAAACAAAAGGAATTAATGTTTTTCAGATGTACTGACCTATACTGCCTATAGATTTACTATTCAAATATAAATTTAGAAAATTATTTTTTGAATTTTAAATTATTCCCCTTAAATTGTTTCCCTTGTTCAAAGATAGACTTCTAAAATAAAAAGCTTACCCTTAGTAACCCGTAGCAGAATTTCATAGTTGTTTTCTAAACCTTGTCCATTAAATCTTCCCAAGAGAATAACCTGGAAAAAAAGATAAAGAATCATTGAAGGAAACTTTACAAAACTATACTAAAAATTGGCCAACTATTTTCCCCCAAATATGATTACATACGAGTACATTTAAAATACAAAAAACTACAATTTTAAACTCTGTTGACCAAAAAAGACTTTAAGTGCAAAAGTTAAAATTAGTGGATGAAGAAAGGTGTGCAGAAACTTACTTTAAAATTAAAGAACGATGTGATGTGGGCAAACAGTTCAAAACAAAAGTCCATGGTTATTTCCTCAGACTTGACTGATGCTACCATACATTTAGCAGCATAGCATCCCATCTGTCGTGCTTGAGACCACAGACGCATCTGTAAGATCCATCAGAATTATTTGAGTTTAGTATGTTAAAAAAAACACTGCTGGTAAAATTTAGGTGAAAATCGTAAAAAAAGCAAGACTTTTTTTAATAATTGTTATACCTGCTTGTAAAATTCAGAAACAATTAAAGATGGAATTTAAATAAGGTATAATCCTGGTGATCAGCAAGTTTGATAATATAATTACTAATTTATAATATCTTTACATGCTATTTTATCCATAGTATTTATCAATGCTACATATGTAATTTTGTTTTTTGATATTATGCAGAATATGTTGATAAGTGAAAAGAAATTTTAAAAGTTATGCCATTATAGTCTGCTCCTGACTGCCTGTACTAACCTGCACCCACCTGCCTGTACTAACCTGCACCAACCTGCCTGTACTAACCTGCACCCACCTGCCTGTACTAACCTGCACCAACCTGCCTGTACTAACCTGCACCCACCTGCCTGTACTAACCTGCACCCACCTGCCTGTACTAACCTGCACCCACCTGCCTGTACTAACCTGCACCCACCTGCCTGTACTAACCTGCACCAACCTGCCTGTACTAACCTGCACCCACCTGCCTGTACTAACCTGCACCCACCTGCCTGTACTAACCTGCACCCACCCACCTGCCTGTACTAACCTGCACCAACCTGCCTGTACTAACCTGCACCCACCTGCCTGTACTAACCTGCACCCACCTGCCTGTACTAACCTGCACCCACCCACCTGCCTGTACTAACCTGCACCCACCTGCCTGTACTAACCAGCACCCACCTGCCTGTACTAACCTGCACCCACCTGCCTGTACTAACCTGCACCCACCTGCCTGTACTAACCTGCACCCACCCACCTGCCTGTACTAACCTGCACCCACCTGCACTAACCTGCACCAACCTGCCTGTACTAACCTGCACCCACCTGCCTGTACTAACCTGCACCCACCTGCCTGTACTAACCTGCACCCACCCACCTGCCTGTACTAACCTGCACCCACCTGCCTGTACTAACCTGCACCCACCTGCCTGTACTAACCTGCATCCACCTGCCTGTACTAACCTGCACCCACCTGCCTGTACTAACCTGCACCCACCTGCCTGTACTAACCTGCACCCACCTGCCTGTACTAACCTGCACCCACCTGCCTGTACTAACCTGCACCAACCTGCCTGTACTAACCTGCACCCACCTGCCTGTACTAACCTGCACCCACCTGCCTGTACTAACCTGCACCCACCCACCTGCCTGTACTAACCTGCACCAACCTGCCTGTACTAACCTGCACCCACCTGCCTGTACTAACCTGCACCCACCTGCCTGTACTAACCTGCACCCACCCACCTGCCTGTACTAACCTGCACCAACCTGCCTGTACTAACCTGCACCCACCTGCCTGTACTAACCTGCACCCACCTGCCTGTACTAACCTGCACCCACCTGCCTGTACTAACCTGCACCCACCTGCCTGTACTAACCTGCACCCACCTGCCTGTACTAACCTGCACCCACCTGCCTGTACTAACCAGCACCCACCTGCCTGTACTAACCTGCACCCACCTGCCTGTACTAACCTGCACCCACCTGCCTGTACTAACCTGCACCCACCCACCTGCCTGTACTAACCTGCACCCACCTGCCTGTACTAACCTGCACCAACCTGCCTGTACTAACCTGCACCCACCTGCCTGTACTAACCTGCACCCACCTGCCTGTACTAACCTGCACCCACCCACCTGCCTGTACTAACCTGCACCCACCTGCCTGTACTAACCTGCACCCACCTGCCTGTACTAACCTGCATCCACCTGCCTGTACTAACCTGCACCCACCTGCCTGTACTAACCTGCACCCTCCTGCCTGTACTAACCTGCACCCACCTGCCTGTACTAACCTGCACCCACCCGCCTGTACTAACCTGCACCCACCTGCCTGTACTAACCTGCACCCACCTGCCTGTACTAACCTGCACCCACCTGCCTGTACTAACCTGCACCCACCTGCCTGTACTAACCTGCACCCACCTGCCTGTACTAACCTGCACCCACCTGCCTGTACTAACCTGCACCCACCTGCCTGTACTAACCTGCACCCACCTGCCTGTACTAACCTGCACCCAATGTGGTGAGTGCTCCCAGCTGGCTGTACACACATCTCCTGCCGCGTACACATGCACCTCACTCGTCTCCATCCTGCCGTTGACCTTGAGACCGCCATCTTTAGCCAGATGGAACTGGTTACCTGACAGAAACATGTCTGTGAATGGGATGACCCCAGTGGCACTGACTATCAGATCACATCCAAAAACTTTGCCATTTGAGAGACAAACATACACCGGCCATTCTACAGTCTCTGGAAGTAAATAAGTTAAGCACAATGGGTGGATGAATGGATATTCAAGTTTTACATAACAGATACAATTGTTATCTAATGCAACTAGTTACTATAAGTTAAGCACAATGGGTGGATGAATGGATATTCAAGTTTTACATAACAGATACAATTGTTATCTAATGCAACTAGTTACTATTGACATTGAAGTTACCCAATCTAATTTATATTGAAGTTTTCACTAACAGAAAATGAAGTTATCTTTAGCTGATACTGAGCTTATGCCTAGCTACTAATGATGTCATCTCTAACTTATGCTCAAGTAATTCATATCTTCGTCTAATGTAATCTTTAGCTCATACTTAAGTTACCTCTAACTCATAGGCCTGCTAAAGTTATCTAACTGAAGTCACATCTAATTGAAGTTTAGAACTCTTTACCATACTATCTCTAAGTATATGACATTCAAAATGGGCTACAAAAAAAAAATAACCACAGATCTCAAATCTAATCACAACATTAGTCTTAAACTAAACCCAACCCTAACCTTATAAGGCAATTAACATGTCTAAGAAAGAATTATTAAAATACATAAGTATACTAAATAAATAAAAAAGATTTTCCAAGTCAAATTTATTATAAGACCTACTTTGTAGAAAATTAATATAAAAGATTATATTATATAATACTGTCTAATACACAATTATAAATAAAAAATGTATTATACATAAGTCTTATATTCAATAAGAAAAAAAAGTAAAAATAATTGTATGGCATCAAATCACATTGCAAAAATTAGGACTAATGGCTCACCATTTGAAAAATTATGAGGCACTGTTTCTTTTACTGTTTGCTGTTTAAATTGTTCTGGAGAGAAGATTTGTGACACCTCCACTTCACTCTCAACATGGACTCTATGGGATATCTAAGGACACAAGGAGACAAACTATGAGAAAAACTATACCAGTTTATCACTTTGACTTACATCAACTACAGAAGCATCTATGCTAAAATAATAGCTAAGATATTGCTATTATGTTTGAGAATATTAATCATAACTTTAAATACAGCCGTGGAGAATTAACCTGCAAAATACCAATAACCCAACTATATATGTCATAGTTTTTAAAATAAAGTATGATAAAATTAAACTGCAGTAAAATAAACTGTTATCATACTCAGGATTTTAAGTAAGCCATAGGAATATTTTTAAAATTGTCATGTTTTTAAATCCACCACCCTCTTTTAATAGTACAAATTAGAACAAAAAAAATAGTCACTAAAGGAATTTTCTAAAACACTTTATATTCAATGGCTGCCCTAACTTGTAACTCTCCAACACTTACCCCTTGAGCGCCTCGTATCTCTAGTTTATTTGTCCAGTCTGGACCCAGGGCCCCACCCATGACACCTCCCAGAGCACTGCTTGACTTGGCATCTAGAATTTTATAAAATACTGGACTAAAACAAGGACCAAAAATCAGACAGTAGAACAATATACTCACTCACACAAAACAAGTAACTTACAAAATTAAATCATTTATAAATGTAATATAAAAGCTTACCATCAGTTGTATATTTTAACCGCTTGGATGGTTCATGTGGTTTTCTCAACTTGACCTTGTTGACATGCTCCATAAAGAACTCTCCAGCACCTGCGTCTACAAAAGTGTGGGCAATAGATTTATCTTTGATGGCCCAAATCACTTCACAACCTTCTAGTTCATATCTAGAGTTAGAAAAACAAAAAGTTATCAGTATACACTTGTTTTATTTTAACAAGCATGCATGTTCTAAAAACTGAATAGTTTGGCACCATTTTTTCCTTATAAGAGAACACTTAAAAGTGACATAGAAGTAACATAATTTTACAAATATTTCTTAAGTATATCTTACACAAGTTCTGTGGCTATTCCTCCATTACCCACTATTATTATCCTTTGGGCAGATTTTATTTTGCTTTGAAATTCCTGAAAAAAAATCCTAATAAAAATAAAGATGCTTAAAGTAACAGTTATCTAAAAAAAACCAACAACTATGTTCCAGTTTACTTTAAATAACTTATATCGTATGCTAATAGTAAAATTAATTGAAGGCCTGTCGATTAACCTGAATAAATTGATTGAAGAGACATCCTTCAGGGTTGAGATTGTTTAATTTGTCCTTCTATTTACTTTGCTGGTAGCTATCATTAGAATGAAAATGTTTTACATTTGTTTTCATTACTTGAGTTTTTGTTTTACCTTAACACTTTCCGTATCTCGAATTCCTACAACATACGGGTTATCAGCTGCTATTTTCTAAGAAAAAAGAATAATTTTATTTACCTAAATCTATAAAGGCAATTAGGCATTTAAGTTACATTTAAACATGTAAAAATTATCAGCCATGCTATTTTATAAATATTTATACAGAAATATTTTTCTGGTATAATATCTGAATTTCTGATGGATAAAAACTATTTTTCCCCCTAAATTGAAAGGATTAAAAACATCAAGGGAGAGTTGTAACAAATCTTAAGTCACAGTGTTTTTACGGACCTTAAGACTTACTGATATAGGATAGCTTAAAGACTAATAAGACTGCTTAAAAACCTGAAGCAGAGCTTAATTAAAAATGATTTTTACCTTTGGTTTTCCACCAGTACAAATGCAGAGTTTATCATAATCATAAACATTACCATCAGCAGTGAACAGTTTCTGGGGGAGAAATATTGTTTTATTGGTGCAGATCAAACCTTTGTTGGTCAGTGATGGAATTAATTTGAGGTGAATTAATTATTCACAGAAGATGAGGATGATATTATCATTTAATTTAATAACGATTATTTTGAATAAAAAATATTTATAGAGGCTTTATGAAGATACTTCCATGGAAATAGTTTTCGTGGGATGCTTCAACTCTGAGCTCTTAAAACAGGCAGACTACAACAGCATGATGCAAAGATCAAAACACCAAGCTCTGATGGGAACCTGACTTAAATCAAGGGGAGCGGGGTGGATGGGCACACTACTACTTCATTTGTTGAGGTCAAAGAATTTGATGCATTCTACTTCAAGCCTTATGTAATGGACTATTCTGAAAGAAAAAAAACTAAAACAGTATAAAACATACGAACCTTATTTTTGGCACATAGGGATGTGACTGCTGAATGAACAATGTGAACACCAGCTTTCATGGATGACAAGGGCTGTTCTTCTACATCAAATGTTTCTACAGCTCGAGTTAGCTATGTATGACAGAATAGATTTCTTTTAATTAAAATTATAGAATTTGAGGATTAAAACTAGCAGAGTTGTCTCTACAAAAATAAAGCTCAATTTAGTTTGGTATTTGATTCAGTTGATTCAATTTCAATTCAGATTTGTTTTAAAATTTCTTGTACCTGAACATAGTTCGTGACTGTTTTAATCAGAGGTGAGGCAGAAATAAGAGTAATGGAGTCTTCTTCAGCAAGCAATGAAAGCTAGAGGTTAAAATAAATAAACAAGCTTGTATTGTTTAAAGTTTAAAATTAGAACTAAAATTTTCTACAGCACATTTGAATTTTTAAAGATAAATCATTAGAAAATGGTAATAATGGCATCAAAAAGGTTGGACTATCAAAGTCAAAGGGTCTGTTTAATATTTTTAAAATTAATGGTGTGCATTGTTATTAAATTTATTAAAACATATATGATTGTAACAACTTCATTGTTTGGATTTTTGTAAGGCTTTTTGATTGATTTTAATTTAAATTTTAAAATATCTTTACAACACCCAAGAAAAACGTGATGCGCAGTGAATGGAAGTTATTAGGAGGAAAGGGGTTACATAACTAAAATCAATGCTTTTCTGTGCAACCCATCAAATTTTCTTAAACTAAATTTTGTAAAAATATAATTATAAGTAGTTTAAGTAGGCCTACATTTAAAATTGAAGGAAATTTTTTTTTTCCAGTTCTTTGACTTTGAGTTTAATTATTAAGGCATTACACACAACACTATGCGTGTGTGGTATGTGGTCTGACCGACTGAAAGGAGATTTTTTATATTATTGTTTTAAGTTTATATTTAACTCAATGCAACAAGCCCGCCGGTTGGTTGAGGCCACGATGTGGGCTTGTTCTGCAAGTGATACAATTACAAAGGGTCGGTTCTAAATAAAATAAATACTAAATAAATATCATCCCTAGATTTTACTTTATAATTTGCGGCTAATAATTAGGCTTATAGGTATGGGGTCATCTATAAATGACGTCACATTTTTGACGATTTTTACCTCCCCCCTCTTCTCCATCACACTTCATCACAAAAAGCCAAACCCCCCACCTAAAATGACATCACACCTCAGCCTACAACATTGCTTTTTTTTTAATGCAAAAGTGTGACATCGCACCATCTGAACCCCCTCCCCTCCCCCTCATCACACACCATCACAAAATTATGGACCCTCCCTCCCCCCTACGAGTGTGACGTCATTTATGGACGACCCCTATAGACTCTATAGAGTAAATTAAAATAGTATAGTACTATAGATTGTAGTAGTAGACAACAAGTAGTACTAATTTAAATTTAGTAATTAGGCTACTATATATATTAAGTAAGTCACAGTGACAGCACAGCAGTGTGTCTGAGTGTTGTTAATTGAAATAATTGTTGTTAACTAATTAATAATTAACTTAGGCCTAGGCCTACTTAATAAAAATAAGGGTAATCTATCGTTTTAGGTAGGTAAAATTGCCCGCGGCTAGTAATGTACGAAAAAGTTACCTCATTGTCAAGGCTTTATATTTAAAGTATAGTAGGCCTATTACACTTAATAATACTACTTACTAAGTAGTACTAGTACTTAGTTAATTAGTACTTCTTAGTAGGCCTACTTACTTACTGTTTCAGCACAAGTTACTCCTGCTATGCCACCACCAATCACAACATATTTTATTTTTTCTGTCATTTTAATGATTGTTATTGTTCTTTTTATGCTAATACTAATTATAACTAGATTTATATGTAGTTCTAAATAAACTTAATTGAGAGAATGAAGTCATTTTGCGTGTTTGTTTTAGTAAGGCAACATAAAAATCTTATTTATTGAAAACAAAATACGTTTTTGTTATTCTAGTAGCCTCCCTTGATTACCTTTTTCGCTAGTTAGATTACAGTTTCGCAAAATTAAATATTCATCAAAGTAGCTTAGACTTCCGTAAGATGTATTGTAAGCGCATTAAGTTTAGATTTAAGATGAAACTTATATTAAGCAAATAATAATTTTGAGTCTACCGGTTCGTAATGTGAAATTGGTGTTTTTAAAGCATCATCATCGCTGGATGTTGCCCAACGTAAATCTGAATTCTTAAAGTGCAGAGGCCACTGCGATGTAAACAGTGTTTCTTCCAGACTTTTTTCTCCGGGGGGGGGGGGGGGGGGGCACTTGAAATCTTCGGGGTAGGGGGGGGGGGGCGGGCGGTAAACTATCTTCGGGGGGCGGACACTGTTAAAAGTATATATTTTCTATATAAATTATATAATTTTCATTTCTTCCGGGGGGGGGGGGGGGGGGGTAAAAAATTGCCTGGAAGAAACTCTGGATGTAAAGAAAAAGGCCATAGCTGAGTAATGGGAACAGGCCATTTCCCCCATGTCAATTACCCCCCCCCCGGACATCGCCCCCCCCCCCCCCCGACATTACCCCGGAGTAATTACCCCCCTGTCAATTACCCTCTGTCAATTATTTAAGTTGCGAAGTGAAAAAGATGCTTCAAATGTTTTTTTTTCCATTTTTATGATGTCGGGATCCCAAAGACAAGCGCACGGTGTAAGCTCTACAGCTGTGACACAGGTGAACTCTACTTCACCAACCCGAAGATTAACACACGCATCTCTCAAGCAGAAAAAAATCATCACGACGCCATCATAAAATTTTATGTGGCCATATTTAGATTATTATATATGATTTCTGCAATATTACCTCTCAGAAAAGAATTAACAAACTATTGAGCTATGGCGCATACATTCGTTAAAAAAGTGTGATGGAATATGGATAAAAAGTAGTATTACAGTCGTTCACTAAATTGAATTAGGCGCGTCAGCCCGCGCACCGATAGGGTGCGACTTGCTCCGGGCTATCCTCGGACTTTCTTCTAGCAACGCGCGGGGAAGGGCACGCTAGTTATAAATATAATGCTGCGTATAATAGAACGGGTCGTAGACATTACCCACCTGCGATTACCCCTCCCTCCCATCCTGCAGTACAATCACTCCTTCCTTCCCCACCTCAACCCCATGTTAACAATTTCAGTGCAGCTTGTTGCCACTTTATGATACTTTGTAACTGGCGATGGGTTTAGTTTTCTGATGTACCTTCTCAAAATGTTAAAACTTGGTTAAGGGGTCGTCCATAAATGACGGGGGGGGGGGGGGGGGGGGGGGTTCCGTAATTTTGTGACGATGTGTGATGAGGGAAGGTGGGGGGAGGCGGTTCAGATGGTGTGACGTCAAACTTTTGCGGTATAAAAAAGCAGTGTTTCTTCCAGACTTATACCTCCGGGGGGGAAGACACTTGAAATTTTCGGGGGAGGGGAGGGGGGGTGGCAGACTTAAATTTCCGGGGGGTGGGGCCATATAAATTCCATTTTGCCTGGAAGAAACTCTGGTTAGTAAACGAGTTTTAACCGTTATTTCGCGTTTTAGAAAACTGTTTGAATAAATTGTAATAGAAATTGATTAAAATACTCTAGACAGAGTTCAAACAAGATTTTGGGAGAATATCGATATTTTAAGAAAAATTCAACTACAATTTTGAGGGAGAGTTGTAGGCTGAGGTAAGACGTCATTTTAGGAGGGGTGGGGGTCTGGTTTTTTGTGACGATGTGTGACGGGGGGGGGGGGGAAGAGGGGAAAGAGGGTGGGGGGAGGGTAAAAATGTCCTAAAACGTGACGTCATTTATGTATGAACCCTAAATAAAATAAAAATTAATTGTGTTACGCGGTGCGGTCCACCCCCCCCCCCCCCACCTCTACTCGCGACGCCTTAGACATTACAATTTTTTGTATTAAAACGTGTTTGGTATATAATTGAATAAATAATTATAAAAATGTAATTTTTAGTAGGGTCTAGAGAAGTTATAAATTATGAAATTGTGTGCTCAAAAACTCAAGATCAGTATATTTAAGATAATTTTGCAGTCAGCTGAGAGCGAGGCCTGATGCGCTAAGTGCGCACACATTTGAAAATTCAGAACATGTCCTAAGGCCTATGTTTTCGCTCAGCGAGCGAAAACAAAACTTGACACATAACATAAAAAGGGGCGTGGTTTTGTGCCCAGCGACCGAGAAGATGTTCCATATACCCGTAACATTTAGTATACACTTAAGCAGTGGCGTAGCCAGGATCGTCTCAAGGTGGGGGGTTCCAATTTTTACCCGGGGACAAGCTTTCGATTTGCAACCCCCCCCCTCAAACTTTCGATTTGCACCCCCCCTCAAACTTTCGATTTGTTTGCACCCCCCCCTCAAACTTTCGATTTGTTTGCACCCCCCCTCAAACTTTCGATTTGCACCCCCCCCTCAAACTTTCGATTTGCACCCCCCCCCCCTCAAACTTTCGATTTGCACACCCCGTCAAACTTTTGATTTGCACCCTCCTCATACTTTTTATATATACCGAGGGGTCTATGGGGGTTATGACCCCCCTACCCCCCCCCCCCCCTGCCTACGCCACTGCACTTAAGTAAGTCTAGTCTAGTACTCGTGTCGTAAGTGTAAACGCGGTGTACCGTGTAAGGAAGTTTTTTGTTTCTAAATTTGTCTTAATTTAATATGAGAACTGCCGATTTTCTTTTTATTTAAATGTTAAATCCGTCGTGGGGACGTCCTCAAAGGCCTAACCCTCCCCCCTCAGCCCACACGCGTCCGCAAAAGTCATCCAGTACCCGTGTTTGTTTTGACAAGTGCCTTGGATAGTAAGAGTTCATAGTGTGTAGTGTGACACAATATTTTGAATTATTTTGCGATGTCATGCGCAGTGTAGGCCATCTGTTAGTGTAGAATCTATTCTTGGTCTAGTGACGATGTGTACAGGCGCGTGTCGTTTGGACTGAGACCTAAATCTAGCATTTAGGAATTCTAATACAATGTTGCTCATATTTCATGTGTATGGATGCCTTATCTTTCTCAATGCCATGAAACAACGCCGACTTGGATCTATATTCTTAGATCTACAAAACAGCATTACATTGATAACGAGGGTTGAGGTAAGTTTTGTATACTCAGAGTATACTGTAATTGTATAACAATATTGAAAATGTATTAGATTAGGCCTGAGGACCATCTTATTTTTTTGGGTGTTGGTAAAATTGCGAAATGGCGGTAAACTGCGAGAAGAAAATGCGAGACATACCCGCGGAATCACGGGTAAATAGCGAGACACAATTTGCAAAACAAGTTTTGTTTCATGCTTATTTTTAAAAAAAATATTTTGTTGTTTCAAACTTAACAATCATATCAGTAGCGTACGCTATATTTATTTATTTATTTATTTAAAAAAATCCTATCATTGTCGTTGTTCTACTCTTCTTCTTCTTCTTCTTCGTTCTTAATTATTAGTGTTGAAGGGGATCGAAATTTATCTGCCAGTGGGTTTGAACTCGAGACTTTTGCCTCCAACACAATTAAGCGTTACGTGTCAACTGGTTATGCGCCATTGAGGCCATTGACTCCGATTCCAGCCTGCTTTTCTTTTTGGATTTGCTTCCATAGCCTTTGTCCAACCAAGAACAAACTAAAAGGCAGCAGTTCTTTAATTTTGGAGTTGTCTCTCCTAGAAGAGTGGCTGTCCTCAGCTAACGAGCCTCATCTGCCCGAGGGTTCGAACTCGAGACTTTTCAGTTTAGCAACCATGAGCTATACCGACTCGACCACGCCGATCCCTGTTGTTCTACTCTGATCTCCCACTTTCATTTTCTTGTTAGCGAGAAAAAAAAATCCCATCTCGGTTGACTTACGTTTTTATAAACGTGCTTGCAGTCATTGTGAATTCGTATAATATTGTCAGCGGGAGAAATATTCAGACATATGTATTCATGTAAGGCTAATAACTTCCGAAAAACCAAGTTACTGATATTAATTTATATGTAATATAAACACAGAACACGAATATGAACAGAATGAAAAAAATAGTTTGGACCAGCCTTCTCAGTTGCAGTGTTTCTTCCAGACTTTTTTCTCCGGGGGGGGGGGGGGGGGGCACTTGAAATTTTCGGGGGGGGGGGGGGGCGGTAGACTTTCTTCGGGGGGGGGGGGGTCGGACACTGTTAAAAGTATATATTGTCTATATAAATTATATAAATTTTATTTCGTTCGGGGGGGGGGGGGGAGGGGGGCGGTAAAATTTTTTCGGGGGGGGGCTTCGCCTGGAAGAAACTCTGCTCAGTTGTTTTTTTTTTTGTCTCTAAATAATTTGAATAGTCCCCAATTCACAAAACCCCAAAGAAAGTCGCTCGCCCCCCCCCCCCCAACGAAATGGAATTTATATAGAAAATAAATACTTTTAACTGTGTCCCCCCCCCCTCGAAAATTTTAGCCCGCCACTCCTCCCCCTCCACGAAAAAAGTCGAGAAGAAACACTGGTTGTCTTCCCCCCCCCCCCACCCCCCCTCCCTTAATAAAAACAATCTATCTATATATATAATTCTCTTCTGGGAGCCGTTAGAAAACAAGCTGCAAGCGCGCGCCTTGCAGTCCCCTCTCTTCCTCTTTCAGTGGCAGCATTGGTACTGTCGAATTCACCAATTATGAATTACTGAAAAGTAGAAAAAACAACTAAATAGCGGTGTATGATTCACCGCGGGTCGGCTCGTTTCTTTAAATTTATATTGTAAGAGAACTTATTCGAAACGGTTCGCGGACGATATTTCGAGTCGTCCCTTTGAATCCCGGTCAGAACGTCCCCCCCCCCCGTCCGTCCGTCCAATCCGTCCCCCCCCCCCCCCGGCGTGGCCTCAACCAATCGGCGGGCTTGTTGCATTGAGTTAAATATAAACTCCAAACAATAATACAAACAATCTCCTTTCAGTCGGTCAG